TTTTTTTGAGACAGAGTTTCACTCTTGTTGCCCAGGCTGGAGTGCAATGGCTCAATCCTGGCTCACCCAACCTCTGCCTCCTAGATTCAAGCGATTCTCCTGCCTCAGACTCCTGAGTAGCTGGGATTACAGGTATGCACCACCACGCCCAGATAATTTTGTACTTTTAGTAGAGCCAGGGTTTCTCCATGTTGGTCAGGCTGGTCTCGAACTCCTGACCTCAGGTGATCTGCTTGTCTTGGCCTCCCAAAGTGCTGGGATTACAGGCGTGAGCCACTCTGCCCAGACCATGTATTTTAAAGTCCCACAACCGTATATTTTAAAGTTTCATATGAAACTTTAAACAGGTGTGGTGGCTCACACCTGTAATCCCAGCACTTTGGGAGGCTAAGCCAGGCAGATAGCTTGAGCCCAGGAGTTCGAGACCAGCCTGGGCCACATGAGACCCTATCTCTACAAAAAAAACTTTAAAAATTAGCTGAGTGTGATGGTGTTGTGAACCCATAGTTCCAGCTACTCAGGAGGCTGAGGTCAGAGGATCACTTGAGCCCAGGAAGTCTAAGCTACAGTGAGCCATGATTGTGCCACTGTACTCCAGCCTGAGCTACAGAGTGAGACCCTGTCTCCAAAAAAAAAAAAAAAGATTCATGTGGAATTTACTAAAAAATTGTTATTTAAGCATCTTCCTGTTGCTGTAAATTTCACATGGATGAGCAGCATAAAATGTAATCCTATTTTAGAGACTTTTCGGAGAGGAAAATTCCACTGTATCCCTTGATGTAAAGGCCATTTCGGAACATTCTTTCTCACATCAAAGATAACTGTGAAGCACAGAGTGAGCTTTGGGTTGAGCTGAAAGTACAAATGGTGGACACATGGCAGACAGGTCTTTTCCCTTTTCATTTTCCTACTCCTGATAATTGCCCGTGCCTAAGTTGCCAAAAGCAACTAAGACCTGGGAAGGGCCAGTATAAACCACAACAGGTTAAAGCCAGGACCCCTGGCCCCCGTGCTACTTCCTTACTTCAGTGCTCCCTCATCAGCTGTGTCGGGGCCCTTGTTCCTGCCTGGCTGGAGGTAAGGCTGGCCCATAGCCTACTCAAGACTATCATAAAACACCCTGTCCCTAAACTTTCTCTAAGTTGTTTCTTGTATTTTTCCTTTCTGCTATTACACTAGTTTTCCACCCTTGGCAGTAGAACATGGTGCTCAAAAGCACTGCCTCTAAGCTCGGTCTACAGGGTACAAATCCCAGCTCTATCACATACTAGCTGTGTGACGCCAGGCACATTACTTAACGCCTTAATGCCTCTGTTACCTCATTTGTGAAGTGGGGATTACAACAGTACCCACTTGGGGTAGTTGTGAGGACTAAAGACGTCAATGTGTGCAAAGCACTCAGAACATCATCTGAACTTGCTAAGGACTATGCAGATATTTGCTATTATTAGCAATGTTTTCTTTCCTTCCTTCCTTCTTTCCTTCCTCCCTCTCTCCCTCCCTCTCTCCCTCTCTCTCTTTCTTTTTGAAACAGGGTTTTGCTTTGTCACCCAGGCTGGAGTGCAATGGCATGATCTTGGCTTACTGCAACCTCCGCCCCTGGGTTCAAGCAATTCTCCTGCCTCAGCCTCCCGAGTAGCTGGGACTACAGGTGCCTGCCACCATGCCTGGCTCATTTATCTACTTTTAGTAGAGACAGGGTTTCACCATGTTTGCCAGACTGGTCTTGAACTCCTGACCTTGTGATCTGCCCACCTTGGCCTCCCAAAGTGCTGGGATCACAGGCGTGAGCCACCACTCCTGGCCACCAATTTTTCCTAAGTTCCTCTATAAGGACATGGTTGCCCCCTCTCACTCCACTGCTCCACTAATTTCTTTTTTTTTTTCTTTTCACAGAGATGTGCAGAGAATCCACTAATTTCTTATGAGTCCCAGGCCCTTTCTGACTTCTTTAGCCAAATTCCCACATTGTAAGCCACTGGCATTGCGTCAGCAGATTTTTGTTTGAACCTGGCTTTACCACAGATTGACCTTGTCACCTCAGGAAAGTAACTGAACTTATTTGAGCTTTAGTTTCCTCTTCTATAAAATGGGGATCATACCTGCTTTGCAGCCCTCACAAGACTACTATGAAAATCAGATAAAACAATGTGTATGAAAGCACTCAAATTGTAAGCCCCAACCCAGGTGTGAGACATTACTAACAGCTTCTGCTAGAATTGTAAAGGTAAGAGATAAATGGGGCAGAAGTGGCCAGCACATTCCCTCATGTCCAAGAATGTCCTGTATGAAGGGCATGGAACCAGTAAAGCTGGAAGAACCAACCTGGGCAAACCCACGGGCCTCTCTCACTCTCATCCTCAAATTGCTAAATATGTGCTATCTTAGAACATGTAAGAAAGGGAGAGCAGAAAATGTCCCTCTGTTCAGCTTTCCTACGTGCTTACCCACCTCCAGACCTGAAGCCTCTGCAAAGCCACTTTTATCACAGCACATGTTTTCCTGAGCCATCTTCTGCTGTTTGATATCAAGCATGGCGAGGGCCTCCAAATACCGTTGATTCAAAACTAGGAAGGGCCATATGAGAAAGTATTCAATATGAAGTCTAACTCCCAGCTTCATCCAATCTAGTTACCCCAACATCATGTACTCCTTTTTTTTGAGACGGAGTTTCGTTCTTGTTGTCCAGGCTGGAGTGCAGTGGCATGATCTCGGCTCACAGCAACCTCTGCCTTCTGGCTTTAAGCAATTCTCCTGCCTCAGCCTCCCGAGTAGCTGGGATTACAGGCATGCACCACCATGTCCGGCTAATTTTGTATTTTTAGTAGTGATGAGGTTTCTCCATGTTGGTCAGGCTGGTCTTGATCTCCCGACCTCAGGTGATTCACCTGCCTTGGCCTCCCAAAGTGCTGCGATTACAGGTGTAAGCCACCAAACCTAGCCATATACTCATTTCTTATAAGCAATACTCTTCCCAAAAGATCTGGCTCCATTCAGAGAAACTGATAGAATCGTGAGTATCATGTAAGATCAAATATATGTAATACTAGATGAGATGGCGTCATTTTTAATGTAAAAGCATCTTAACTTTGCAACTGAGGTCTGATCCCTGTTTGCTCTTGGGAAATTTGTAGAATTTTCAAAAAGGGAACATGTAAAAGCAAATTATTCAGAGATTTTATGGTTAGTGAGAAATCTGGATGGTGAGATCTCATATATTGTATTCATGTCAAACATACCAGCTATCCAAGCTCAATCAGATTTTTCTACTAGCTATGAGTTTTCACAAGAAGATATCAAACCAAACATTTAGAACAAGAGGGGTCCTGCTGTCTGCTGGAGAGCAGAAAACAGTATCTTTTCCCTGTCACTGCAGGGTGGAGTGTTACGACAGAAGGAGAGGACTTGTGATCGTGAGCAGCTTCTGTCCTGAGCTTATTTATCTAACACAGGAGACATCTTTATCAGTCTGAGTCCTTGTTGCTGAGAAGCACCAGCTGTATGTGCAGATCTCAGGGGGAGGCGTTTACACAACTCAGTCACCACACAGCATACAGTGCCGCTCTCAGCCCCATTTAGAGCTTCTTTTGTCCTTTTCTTCCTTTCTTTTTTTTTTTTTTTTGAGACAGAGTTTCGCTCTTGTTACCCAGGCTGGAGTGCAATGGTGCAATCTCGGCTCACCACAACCTCCGCCTCCTGGGTTCAGGCAATTCTCCTGCCTCAGCCTCCTGAGTAGCTGGGATTACAGGCATGCACCACCATGCCCAGCTATTTTTTGTATTTTTAGTAGAGACGGGGTTTCACCATGTTGACCAGGATGGTCTCGATCTCTTGACCTCGTGATCCACCTGCCTCGGCCTCCCAAAGTGCTGGGATTACAGGCTTGAGCCACCGCGCCCAGCCTCCTTTCTTTTCTTTAAGATACAGGGTCTCCCTCTGTCACCCAGGCTAGAGTGCAGTGGTTCAATCATCGCTCACTGTAGCTTCAAACTCCTGGGCTCCAGGGATCCTCTCACCTTAACCTCCCAAGTAGCCAGGACTACAGGTGTGTGCTACCGCGCCTCACTAATTTTTGTTTATTTTTTGTAGAGGCAGAGTCTCACTGCGTTGTCCAGATTGATCTCAGACTCCTGGCCTCAAGCAATACTCTCGTCTTGGCTTCCCATAGCACTGGGATTACAGGCATGAGCAACAGTGCCTGGCTTGTTTTGTTCTCTTCAGGCCGCCTCTTTAATTTCTGCTAAGAAGGGAGAACTAGCCTCCTCTCTAAATTTTTATGGCTAGGTACAGTGGCTCACACCTTTAATCCCAGCACTTTTGGAGGCCAAGGTGGGAAGATTGCTTGAGGCCAGGAATTCAAGACCAGATGCAGTAACAAAGTGAGACTCCCCCTCATCTCTACGAAATTTTTTTTAAAAGTTAGCACTTTGGGAGGCCAAGGCAGGCGGATCACCTGAGGTCAGGAGTTCAAGACCAGCCTGACCAATGTGGTGAAACCCCATCTCTACAAAAATACAAAAACATTAGCTGGGCATGATGGTGGATGTCTGTAATTCCAGCTACTCAGGAGGCCGAGGCAGGAGAGTCACTTGGACCCGGGAGGCAGAGGTTGCAGTGAGGCAAGATTGTGCCACTGCACTCCAGCCTGGGCGACAGAGCGAGACTCTGTCCCCAAGAAAAAAAACAAAAACCAAAAATTAGGCTGAGCACAGTGGCTCACAACCTGTGATCCCAGCACTTTGGCAGGCCAAGGCAGGTGAATCACCTGAGGTTAGGTGTTCAAGACCAGCCTGGCCCACATGGTGAAACCCCATCTCTACTAAAAATACAAAAATTAGATGCACTGGCATGTTCCTGTAATCCCAGCTACTCGGGAGGCTGAGGCAGGAGAATAGCTTGAACCTGGGAGGCGGAGGTTGCAGTGAGCTGAAATAGTGCCAGTGCACTCCAGCCTGGGCAACAGAGCGAGACTCCACCTCAAAATTAGCTGGGCATGGTGGTGGGTGTCTGCAATCCCAGCCACTCAGAGCGAGATTTCATCTCAATAATAAAAATAAAATAATACATTTTTAATTAGCTGGGCATGGTGGAACATGCCTGTAGACCCAGCTACTTGAGAGGCTGAGGTGGGAGGATCTCTTGAGCCCAGAAAGTGGAGGCTGCAGTGAACTGTGATTGTGTCACTGCCCTCCAGACTGGGCAACAGAGCAAGACCCTGTGTGAAAATAAATAAATAAGAAATAAATAAATTAAATAAATAAAGTTGTAAAAAGTTAACATCAGGCTGAGCACGGTAGCTCATGCCAGGCATGGTAGCTCACATCTGTAATCCCAGCACTTTGGGAGGCCAAAGTGGGTGGGTCATTTAAGGTCAGGAGTTTGAGACCAGCCTGGCCAACATGGTGAAACCCTGCCTCTACTAAAAATACAAAACTTAGCTGGGCATGGTGGCGGGCACCTGGAGTCCCAGCTACTCGGGAGGCTGAGGCAGAAGATTGTGTGAACCCGGGAGGCAGAGGTCGCAGTGAGCCGAGATCCCA